GTCTTAATATAGCTGATGGAGAAGAAGTTGATTAATATCTTTCCCAAAGTTATTGGCCTGCCTTGAATATAGCGAAACCGGTTGGAATTAGAACTCGTATCTCCGATTTCCAGTTCCGAGCCATTATTCATTACACAACATATACACCTAAGCTTACAGCACCTGGTATTCCCAAGTGATGACCCCTTTGGAGACTGACTAAGCTCGATGTTGTTTAACCTGATTGTTCAGACAGGAATCTGTGTTTCAACGTGATATGGTCGTATGCTCCTTAGAATAAAAAAGGAGAGAATTTAAATTTCTAGATCACATAATCAGAAAAGAAGTCTTGGAGAATTGGATATTCAGGCGATATATTGAAGGCAAGATAAACAGAAGAAAATAGTGAATATCCCCAGATTTTGTTTCTTGCGATTTTTTCCTCGTCAAAAATAAATCTCTCCTAAAAGGAACAAGATTACAAGACATCGAGAAAATCCAAGTGACGAAGTAGCTGCTGGCTATGCCAAAAGGCTTTCCAGGAATACTTCATTAAATGAAAACGATAAAGTGTGTGGCTTCAGAATGGACTACTTCGAAGGAGATTAAATGCCTAATTGGTATGTGTTGTAGTTTTCTTTTTATAGCACTAGTCCAGTCGAATTTTTTTTATTAGATCTCGTACAATGTGCCTAGTACTCGGCTTAGGGATTGAACTCAGAATTGCTTTGTCCTGAAATTCACGAAACGATGCTTTATCGTCTTGGACATTTACCTGTTTTAATCCATCTCGAGTTTAAATACATTTGGTGTGCTACCAACACAATTTACCCTCCTATAAAAGATCTATTCTAAGCAAAAGTAAAACCGTTTCAAATAACATATGATTATATTTATATATATAGCAAATATATAAGACACTTTTTTAAATATTAATTTTCTTATGACATTGATCGACTTCATCAGAAAAAAAAGATTTTTATCTTACGAATAATACAGACTTTTCCTATCGAATTATCAAAATTTTCTCCAAATTGTTTTATATATTTACTATTCTGTAACCGCAATATTGTCCATATCGTGTAAAAGCAAAATTGTCTAATTGTTAGATTAAATTTGAACCGTTGTATCTTAGAAATGATGTAAGATATCTTACTGGAATTCTTCAACATTTTATAGCACTGCTGGACTCTACTTTGAGTAGTAAGCATGTATAATTACTCTTCAAGATTAGAAGAAGAATGGTGATGAAAACGCTCATAAACAAAAATGACATGTTCATCATTAATTAATCATAGCTAAGGAGAGAAAGCTCACAAAGTATTGAAATAAAGTTCAAATATATATATATATATATATATATATATATATATATATATACTATTCTGGGATCTTTTTTCAACTTATTCAAGATGATCTTCGCCCTCTCTAAACATATAATTTTCTATTCTGGAGTAACAAGGTGCTTTAAACGTTTCAAGTACGATTTCATTTTCAAGTTTGTTTCTCTGCTCTTTGGACTGTCATAGCTGAAACTCTTCTCTCACGAGCCAAACATCTTAGGCATTGAGTTTTATCTTTTTTAATTCATCTTTTTCAGCTCTAAGTTGAAATGATGATCCCTCTTGCTGTTGTGATATCCTGATCCATTTTCCTCTCTACTGATCTTGCTTTTTAAAATTTATTCACCGTTCTCTTGAAGATACTTGGATGGACTTTGAAGATGGAAGCCAGAGTGTAAATATTGTTAATATTTCTGAAGGCCTGAATGATTTTTCCTTTCACCACTGCTCAGTTGGGAAGACATCTTAACTTCAGTATCTGTCTATATTTCTGAGATAAGGTATTATGTACACTATTTGCATTATTCGGACTATTGTCCTCTTCTTTGTAGCCATATTTATTACGTTTCGGCCTTTCAGTATCTGTCTATATTTCTGAGATGAGGTATTATGTACACTATTTACATTATTCGGACTATTGTCCTCATATTTGTCGACATGTTTATCACAACGTTTCGGCCTTTCAGTATCTGTCTATATTTCTGAGATGAGGTATTATGTACACTATTTACATTATTCGGACTATTGTCCTCATCTTTGTCGACATGTTTATCACAACGTTTCGGCCTTTCAGTATCTGTCTATATTTCTGAGATGAGGTATTATGTACACTATTTACATTATTCGGACTATTGTCCTCATCTTTGTCGACATGTTTATCACAACGTTTCGGCCTTTCAGTATCTGTCTATATTTCTGAGATGAGGTATTATGTACACTATTTACATTATTCGGACTATTGTCCTCATCTTTGTCGCCATATTTATTACAACGTTTCGGCCCTTCAGTATCTGCCTATATTTCTGAGATGAGGTATTATGTACACTATTTACATTATTCGGACTATTGTCCTCATCTTTGTCGACATGTTTATCACAACGTTTCGGCCTTCTTCATCTTAAGTTGTTCTCTTTCTATCTGAATAACTCAAAGAGTTCTATAGTGATTCTTCCGAGAAATGGTATCAAGATGGCTAATCGTCTTATCTGAAAATCTGGAAAAAGAAACAATTAATTTAATGTTTTTTTAGGTATTAAATATTTTGTGGAATGAACAGTTATGCTGTAATATGATTTGGACAATTTTGCAATTAAACCCGGTATATGTATATATTAACGATTAGTTAAATTTCTTGTAATTGTTTTCAATTACACCAAGTGGAGAAGAGACAGAAGGTCAACTGTTATTTCAATGTTATATTTCTTTTAATATTCAGGAAGTACTGAACATAAGAAAACGTGCAGCGATAATAAGGTTTTTGATATTATATAAGTATAATTCAATTGTAAAATGACTTAAGCCGTTATATTTTGACAGCAGAGGAATAATAGTCTACGCATAAAAATCTGCTGAATACTTAGCCTAAAATTAAGTCTTGACGTGACATACTTTCACAATACGTGTTAATATTTTAGACTTCGCAGACCACATAATTTTTATAATTACCAATTTAGCTGCATTTATTTTTGACGATACAGTTCGCTAGCAAATGAAATAACGGGAAGTCACTTTCTTAATGAATTGAAACATTCTAAAGTAAGACATATTGGCTCAATTTATTATAATTATCATTTATAGCAAGATGCTAAGAAAGCGGCTCTTTTTTTTTATCATTTCTTGATTTTACTTTTTTTTTTAATATTCAGTACGTATTGAACATAATCAAGAAAATATTTTGTATATGTTAATATTATCTGAATCTTTTGTTAATGAGAGTTAGATAGCATTTTCAAAGCAGTATAGAGAATGGGCTAAAAGTAAACTTAAAGTTGTTTCACTATTTCTTTCATATTTTAGATCTAATTTATCCAAATCATAATTAAATTTACCAAACTGTTAATTCAGCAAGATGGAGAACCTCCCCAATATTCTTAGTCAGTGAGGTACTACCTTAACAAAACTTTTCCACAGCGTTGGTTCGGAAGAAGAGGCAGCATCGAATGGCTACCACGTTCACCTGACCTAACACCAATGGATTTCTTTGTTTGGTGGGGTGTAGTCAAGAACAAAGTTTATGAGAGAAATCCTCGCAAAATGGACGAATTAAAAGAGTGCATCCAAGAAGTATTTATTGAAATTGGTTCAGGTCGGGATTCGTGTCGTGCTGTGTGTCAGCTTATTCTGAAGATGTCCCCGAAATGTTGCAATGATGAAGGAGGACATTTTGAACACTTAAGAGATTAAACTCTTAAACGTATGTTTTGAACAAATATGATTGAAATAAATAAATATAGATATACTAGAATGTTTTAAAAAAATACCTACCTATTAAGTGTAAGACTACTTTTGGCTCACACTGTATAAGAATAGTATATCTGTATACTATTTACATTATTCGGACTATTGTCCTCATCTTTGTCGCCATATTTATTACAACGTTTCGGCCGTTGTACGCTCCGGCCTTCTTAAGGTGGTTTGAATGTCGTACTGAACACTTTATTTCGCTCACTGGGGTAGACAGTTCTAGTTCCACGTGCCATGTTTAATGGATGTCAGTTATCAGTTATCTCCTGTTAATCTCCCTCTCCAAGTTCTCCACTGCCTTAACCGGTTATTGAACTCACAGTCTTTTGGTCCTGTCACTGGATCTAACCAATGCCTTTATCCACAGTGGCATGTGTCCTCAAGGATATCTGTATATAAGAAAGTATAATTCTCTTTATAATTTTTTTCTTTTCATACATGGTGGCTTAGAGAAGAAATATGTCTCGTTTTTCCTTTTGATTAGATATCTTTTGATCACCTTTTTGAACCTCATATAGTATTGAATATTATACAGAATAGTGCATAACATGAAATTCCTTAAGCATACTTGACTACACAAGCTTAGATGACTACCAAGGTTACTTGACTACACAAGCTTACTTGGCTACACATGCATACTGAAAAACTGTAAAGACTACTGGTTCTTAACCTTTTTGGAGGTAATGAAATACACAAACTTCATCCGTGCATTCACCGAATCCTTCGTAATTGGAAAAATAAAATACGATTTCCTTCAAAACATTGGTAAATATTTTATTAGTGCACAAATGAACCATGGCCACAAAATCACTATGTTCAAAGAACAAAACCAACAAAGCATGACGCTTACACAAAATCAAAAAATGATGTAACGGAATAACCAGTCAACCCCATGAATGATTACAGTATAGGTAGGAAGTACTTATAAAGTTAACCGTCTACGAGAGACTCAGGGGAAGGGAGAAGGAGTGAGAGTGAGAAGACGCAAGCACGTCCGATCTTCGAACTAGTGGCACTCACTACTAGATTGACCTGTGTGTATAAATGTACTGTATTTCATATTGTACTAGTTGTGTACAATAAACCTTTCTTCTAGTATCCACTTGGTGTTATGTGTTTATTCATTTAGCAGGGAATATAACAAAAACATACGTCAAGGAATATTTACAGAAAGTCATTATAATTTTGCTGTTGTCTTTCAGAGACAAGATTGAAATGCGCGGGTTCAATTTGGCAAGTGCCGCTCTCATATCATTTTCAATTTGGCAAGTGCCGCTCTCATATCATTTTCAATTTGGCAAGTGCCGCTCTCATATCATTTTCAATTTGGCAAGTGCCGCTCTCATATCATTTTCAATTTGCCAAGTGCCGCTCTCATATCATTTTCAATTTGGCAACTTCCGCTCTCATATCATTTTCAATTTGGCAGTGCCGCTCTCATATCATTTTCAATTTGGCAAGTGCCGCTCTCATATAATTTTCAATTTGGCAAGTGCCGCTCTCATATCATTTTTCAATTTGGCAGAGTGCCGCTCTCATATCATTTTCAATTTGGCAAGTGCCGCTCTCATATCATTTTCAATTTGGCAAGTGCCGCTCTCATATCATTTTCAATTTGGCAAGTGCCGCTCTCATATCATTTTCAATTTGGCAAGTGCCGCTCTCATATCATTTTCAATTTGGCAAGTGCCGCTCTCATATCATTTTCAATTTGGCAAGTGCCGCTCTCATATCATTTTCAATTTGGCAAGTGCCCGCTCTCATATCATTATCAATTTGGCAACTTCCGCTCTCATATCATTTTCAATTTGGCAAGTGCCGCTCTCATATCATTATCAATTTGGCAAGTGCCGCTCTCATATCATTTTCAATTTGGCAAGTGCCGCTCTCATATCATTATCAATTTGGCAAGTGCCGCTCTCATATCATTTTCAATTTGGCAAGTGCCGCTCTCATATCATTTTCAATTTGGCAACTTCCGCTCTCATATCATTTTCAATTTGGCAAGTGCCGCTCTCATATCATTATCAATTTGGCAAGTGCCGCTCTCATATCATTTTCAATTTGGCAAGTGCCGCTCTCATATCATTATCAATTTGGCAAGTGCCGCTCTCATATCATTTTCAATTTGGCAAGTGCCGCTCTCATATCATTTTCAATTTGGCAAGTGCCGCTCTCATATCATTTTCAATTTGGCAAGTGCCGCTCTCATATCATTATCAATTTGGCAAGTGCCGCTCTCATATCATTTTCAATTTGGCAAGTGCCGCTCTCATATCATTTTCAATTTGGCAAGTGCCGCTCTCATATCATTTTCAATTTGGCAAGTGCCGCTCTCATATCATTTTCAATTTGGCAAGTGCCGCTCATATCATTATCAATTTGGCAAGTGCCGCTCTCATATCATTATCAATTTGGCAAGTGCCGCTCTCATATCATTTTCAATTTGGCAAGTGCCGCTCTCATATCATTTTCAATTTGGCAAGTGCCGCTCTCATATCATTATCAATTTGGCAAGTGCCGCTCTCATATCATTTCAATTTGGCAAGTGCCGCTCTCATATCATTTTCAATTTGGCAAGTGCCGCTCTCATATCATTATCAATTTGGCAAGTGCCGCTCTCATATCATTTTCAATTTGGCAAGTGCCGCTCTCATATCATTTTCAATTTGGCAAGTGCCGCTCTCATATCATTTTCACAACAAAGTCTGTTCCGTTTCTTTATTTTCATGTCTATCTTTCTCAAAAAAGATTGCTCGTAAAGATATGTTGTAAAAAAATGTATGAGTATTTCAAGGGTTTTCTTGGTAATAAGAGGGTCCGTTACGATTTGGTGATAGTAAAACGTTAAGAGCGTTGTTGTTCTGAACAGTTATTGTTGAATCTGTCTCTGATGAAGTTCATTTATTTCGTCGAGGTATTCATCGTTGACATCAGCCGTCTCAACATTAAACGTGGACGGCTGCGTCATCCATGCTGAATCTAACTCTCTGGTGGATAAGTATCTGTGGAGAAATTGTCCGAGCACATCTAAGTACATGGAAATTGCTGGCTTGAGTTCCCTGGGTACAGAAATGTCTCCAATTCAAGACACGGCTTCCATCTTATTTACATAGTCGTCCAGCAGGGGATAGTTTGCGAAGTTATCGTTCTTTGTGCTTTTTTTTTTTTCATAACGATAGCTTTTTTTTTTTTTAAAGAAATCTTCAGGTTTTCTTCCGATTTGTTGATGTTTACTCCACCACCCCCGCATCTGTCGATCGAGAGCATCAAAGATATCGGTCATGTACGCCAAAATAAGAATGAATCTGCATTACAATGTAGGTGTTCTCGCAAAAACAGGTCTAATTCCACACGCATAGCCAAAATACGATTCGGTAGGATCGTGCAGAAGTACCTCGAATTCAGTGCTCATTTCATTACACAGCTCTTTGAAAATGCAGTGCTTTATAGCACTCTTTTGCACATAATTCACATACTCCAATACAATTTTCAGTCCTGTCAGTTTTGGAGGCGAGGTTTTATTGCTAACGTATTTCTGTGCAGAACACATTGCGTAACAATGATGTATAGTGCATTGGCTTTCTCAAGAGCGCCAAAACCAGATTTTCGTCTAAGCATGACTGGAGCTCCGTCCGAAGAAATTACCGAAACCATATTCCACGATCGTTGTCTCTGAAGACGTCATCCAAAAGTTTCCTGACATCGACTGCCTTGGTTGTTGTCATTGTAAAAAGCTTAGAAAAAAAAAATTCTTCCTTTATAATGTCGTCTTTCACATAGCACGTGAATACGATAATCTAGATTGGATTGTAAAAATCGGTATTTTATTTTTGTCGAGATTGAGGCTGAATTTCTCCTGATTGTGAAATCAGATCGACAAATACTTGAGCCAAGATGTCATCGCTCATGTCTTCTATTCTGCTGCTGATGGCGTCATTTGAAAGAGGAATTTGGGTTAATCTTCAGCAACTTTTTTTTATTATGATATTCGCCATCTTCAACACAGATGTATTTACGAGTGTTTCACGAATGGTGTATTGTTTACCCTGCTTTGTGATCAGGTACGCAACTTCATACAATGTTATGAGGATCGGTTTGTCGATGGGTACAATGCTGAGCGTAGGCAGCGTAACCTTTTCATCGAATCTGTCTCTCTTCACCGTGAATTCAGCGAGCGTTGTATTCTTATATTTCCCATCTCCATTCAGCTTTAGGAAATGTTCCCTTAGTTTTTACTCGACTAGAATTGCTCAAATTGTCATTGCAAATCAGGGGTTCAGGACGCTGACTCCCAATCACGTGTTCCGTTAATACCCGTGAGGCAATATTGTACTTATTCGCCCGACTAGTTTCTTTTTGGTACTCGATATAGGAAAAAAGAGATTGAAAGATTAAGTAGAAAATAATAAAAAATGACGTACAATCACAAGTCGACTACTAAGCTGTTGTAGAGTAGTTTCACAGTGGAGGCTTGTATTTCACTAAGTCGGCCCTAAAAGGGTCCGACGTACAAAACGTTAGGAACTTGAAAATAATAGTTAATGACGCAGCAATCTAGTTGTGGTGGTTGATACTTCAATGTCCGACATCGACTGACTCACTCAACTCCACTGAGTTCCCTGGCGACTGCTACTACTACTACTTATTATCTGTGGGAGAGTCTATTAACAATAGAATAGGTATGTTCCGGTATAACATAATCTCACCCAGTTCTCTGTCGCACAAGCGTGAAGGCCAAGTGATGTGGGTGAGATCAGCTTCAGCCAATGTGTATGTGTCTGTGTCTTGACCTCTGCCAAACACCTGAGAATGAATCACCGAACCCCTGCGGTTCGAGCGAAGCGTAGTTAAGGACTACCAGCATAAAAGCAACAACAAAAAAATACTTAAATTTAAAATATCTCATCATCTTTTATCGGAATATTGCATATACATATATCTGAAAAAAAAAATATCTCTCTAAATAATTACTCCCATTCAGCCATTTTGAAATCTTTCCATTTAGTTTGCGTAAGAAATAAAACATGTAGTTAACTGTACGTTTATTGATTGTATATTCAGTATTATTCGCTTAGATGCGAAATGTACCTAGTTTCCACTCTAGGGTATTGTTTGATTACTAGAGAACCTAATATTGCATTGAACATAGAATATTACTCAGTATACGATGTTGGAAGATTACTTGACTACACAGGTATATTTCTAAAAAATTGTCTATAACCAAGAAGAACAATTTTTAAATGTAATTCTTTCATAATCTTTCGCACGGGTAAATTTAATAATTCTACCAAACTAACTAAAAACTCTTATCCAATACAATTCTCTAGCTGTTTTTCAACGGCAAAATGCACACATAACCGAAAAAGTATATTTAACCATTTTGCATTTTTTTAATTCTTATTTCATTAATAAAATAATATTTACATTATTTATATTACAATATTTATACAGGACAAAGAAAAAACATTGGAGAGTTAGACGTCTATCGGAATCAGCGGCTATGCAAGGCTATGAGGACCTCCTTAGCATAGTAATCCATATAATGTGGGTGCCGCTAATAAAGAAAGAAAGACAAATGACAAATCATGGGCAGTAGCAGCAGCATTTAAAACATGACAAACAGCAGTAGCTGTCGCAACCTAATCAGCAAACAGGTTTACGGCTCTAAGTTGACTACAGCAAACTGGCCTAGTGGATAAAAGGAGGTTGCTAATTTGGTGACCTAGTGGTTATGAATTCAATCCCTGAGTCAAAGAGTGTGTACTTGCACACAATGTAACCGAGCGAGAAACAATTAAACAGTACTAAATATAATAAGAACGGGACGATATCCCTAGACATGATCAGTGGAACGAGAACAGGCTACTCTCGGAGATTAAATAAAAGGTTCACTTCAGAATTCCTTTTAGAATATTCTGATTGATATACTACTGAGGGATGCTGGGGAGCACAATGAAACGTTGTGATAGCAACAACAAAGATGGGGATAATAGTCCGAATATAAATAGTGCAAATAATGATAACTCCACATACCCTGAAATTCGGACAAAAGTGTTGTTAACTGGACGTAATTTGTTTTGTACTTGCTTACGTATAAAATGTATATCGTATCCCCTCTGCGGGCCCGTTTGGGCATAGCGAACCTCATGTCGCATTGAACACAAGAGGGAATAGAATAAAAGAGAATAGAATAAGTCATAGTGTCTTAAGTTTGCTTGAACATACACAGTCATAATGCTTAGAAACCAATTAAAACCTCTTCTCTAATTCTCTTGCAATATTTCAACGGAATTATGTACATACGGAAAAAATCACATCTATGTACACGACCCCATTCAATTATTTGCGTTCATTTAGTTTGCTTAGAAAATAAAATATATTATTATTATTAACAGGATATAATTATTCGTATGTTCCTTCGTCCTAGCTTAGTTGTTTCGTTGCCCCTCTGGTGGAGGCCTTTTGGTCACGAGTTAAAACTTATGTCGCATTAAACAAAACATAGAATATTAAACAGCATACGGCGATCTAAACCTATTTGAATACACACAGGAATATATTTAATAAGTCTACTAAACCAATTAAAAAACTCTTCTCGAATACAAATCACTCAAAATATTTCTTGGGAATTTTGCATGCACATATATATAGAAAAGGACATATCTGTTTGAACGTTTTCATTTGACATTTTTGTATTCTTTCTCTTTCATTAGCCTATGAAATAAACATATATTGTTGTTAACTGTACGTAAATATTTGTATATACATTCTTACTCGTTTCCAGACAACAAATATCTCATTTCACCATTGTGGGGCCATTTTATCGCAAGCGAACCTCGTGTCGCATCGCATACAACACAGAATAGATGCAATGCCCAAAGATTACTTGACAACACACTACTTTCTTCATTCTGTTTCAAATTCTAAGTGCCTCTTTCTGATTGTAAGTGTATTTATCCATTGGATTTAATTTGTTTTCTCGTACCCTCTTACCCAGTCTGTTTCTTTTTTATTTATTATTTTTCTGTTTCGACCTTTTATTGCATCTTTCACGTTTGCAATGTTTATTTTGTATCTCCATCGATATCGTTTTTTTTTTTTCTTCTTAATTTCTGGCTTTTGTTTTTCATTTTGTCCTTTTTTTGTTCAAATTTCTCTTTTTTCTTCACGCTTCCTTTTCTTGTTTTCCTTTCATTCTATTTTTTTCTTTATCCTTTTCAGGTGAGATTTTCCCAGATTTTCTTTATTTCTGTCAAATTATTTTCATTCCTATTCACTTATTTCATTTCAATCTTTTTTGTATTTTTTCGAATTTAATTTTTAATTCCTTTTTCACTTTACTCTTCTTATTTAGACTTATATAATTTTTTTTTTCAAATTTCTTTTTTTCTGTCTTTCTTCTTTTTCATTGTCTAAATTTCTTTTCATTTTTGTTCCCTATTTCATTTCCTTCTTTTTTGTTACTTTCCTCTCTGTTTTCTTTTGTTCTCTCTCTCTATATATATATTATTTTACTCACTATCCCTCTTTTTAGCTTTTTCATTCCTTACTCATTCTTTTCTTTCCCTAATTTTCTCACATTTTCCCTCTTCTTTAACCTCAGACTTATATTTCTTCTTTTTCTCTTTCTCTTTCTTCTAACACATTTCCTTATATCTTCTTTGTTTCGTTCCCACCCTTTAATATATCTATTAATCTTTCCTTTTTTCGCCTTTCTCTTTTATATTTCATGGCGGTTTACAGTCAACAAGAAAACAAATATAAAGGGCGAT